GACCTGCTGAGTTTTTCCAGTAATTTCTGATTTTGTCTCTGATTTTCAGCATCTGCAGGTCTTTATTCATAGAGGATTCTTGATTTTGCTGTCCACCACAGACAGGTAGCATCTCTCTAGCATTTTTAGCAGAGCTACTGGGGTTAGGAGCATCAGTGGCAGTTTTACAAACACAGAAACATAGAAGATAGGAGCAGAAGGAGGCTATTCGGCCCTTTGAGCCGGCTCCGCCATTCTTCACAATCATGGCTGATTGTCCAACTCAATAGTCTAATCCTGCTTTCACCTCATAACCTATGACCCATTCACCCCAAGTGCTGTATCCAGCTGCCTCTTACATACATTCAATGTTTTGGCATTAATTACTTCCTGTGGTAATGAATTCCACAGCCTCACCACACTTTGGGTGAAGAAATGTCTCCTCATCTCCGTCCTAAATGGTCTACCCCGAATCCTTAGACTGTGATCCCTAGTTCTGGACACACCCACCATCGGGACCATCCTCCCTGTATCTACCTATGTTTGGTTGCCCTAGGATATGGCTTCAGACAGAAAGAAACATGATGTGCGGTTTCACTGACTGCGCTATTACTCTCTGCAATCCAGTGGCATTCCACCCATTCAGACCATCATTCCAACTGCAGAGAAATTTTCAGACTTACATTACTTCTTCAATCACCATCACGACTAAAAACAGATGAACTGGATTTTCATCTTCATACTGCTTATAGGTTCTTGGTAACTTAAAATGGTGTTCTTATTTGGACCTTGGCAACAACAATTAGATTTCAACGTAATTGATCCTACATGAATCATTCTGAATGTCCTCACTCATTCATTCCTTCTTTTGTCAGTTTCCATACACTAAGGGCAGTATGTAACTAGACGACAATGGTTTTCTAAGACGGCTCAAAAACTGACAAGAATCCCATGTTGCCTTTTCCCAGGTCTTTGCTTTGGGGGCACTGAATGGGATCATGCGGAGGGATTGATGAGGGAGGGGTGAGGGGAGGGGAGGTGGGCACAGCAAGAGGTGCAGGGGATGGCTCTAAATGCACTTTAGGTCAAATGTAAATAAACATTAGTGAAGTGAGCAACTCAGACTCTTTGATGAACAGTTTCCAGTCTGTCTAAGTTACTTGCTCGATCACAAATTTGAACACAAGGTCATTGTCCTAAAATGCTAACCCTTGCTTCTATCTCCAGAGATACATTATGGCCAAATTGAGGGCTTCCAGTATTTTCTGCTGCATTCCACATTTCCAGCAAGTAACAAGTTTCACTTCATGTTGACTTTGTCATTAGAGCAAGTCAAACCATTGTGGGAATTGAACATTAACCTAAAGAGACTGAGAATCTTCCTCTAGTTTGAATGTTATTTTGCCTCTTGTTCTAAACTCAGACTGAAAGTTTACTGCTCTCAATCCCCAAACAAGGAAATCTACCGACACTAACCAATTGAAGAATTGATATCAATCATGCTGCCTCAGTGGTAAGAAGTAAGAGGTGGATAGAGGAATAAATTCTTCCTGAAAGATCCAAGTCACAAATTGAAGATGAAACAACTGTTATATGTGATAAGACTGCAGCAATGTGGTGAAAATGGCAAGACATGCAGCACAAAATATGATTAATTTAGGTGGAAAGCACTTATTATGCAACACAAAGTCTGATTACACACAATCTTGTTGGACCAGGCGGACAGGCTCTGACTCTTCTGGGAATTCAAAGACCCAACGAAGACAGGGAAAACATGCAGCAACCACAGAAGTGTGGGTATGGATTAGTCACCCAGCCACAATAATAAATTGGTTCAGCAAAATGAGATCCTGGGAAGCTACATAGAGTTCAGTGATAGCAAAACTGGTAGCCACATCATGGTGATCTTTCAATCTCTCTTCCTCTTAGCAACAGCCCAATTTGAAAGCAGTTGCATTTGAAATTCTAGGATGTTCCAGATAGGAAAAAAGGCTGTCAACACTATCACCAATGACTCGTAATGTAAGCCCACATTCTGCCCGAGGACAGTACGTTGGGTGCTATCAAGATAAAAGCAGTAAGCAAGTAATGCAATAAGTTAAGCCATCTTGCCACACAAATCTCCTTTTCACCCTAAGGTCACTGAGAAGCATAGGGAATAGCTCAACTCCCAGTGGGAATACCATGCTCAGTTCCAACTTGTTTCGCAGCCACATCAGTTGCCTTACATCAGATTTCTACTTGAGCGTTATGGCTAACTCTGAGGAAATGTGAGTCCAGCATTTATACCTGTAATGGAAGTTACTACTATAACAAATGCAAATGTAATGATTCCAAGGCATCTCAAGGTTGAAATCATTGGTAGAAACTATTCAAGTTTTGTCTTGTAATGTGATGTCATTTGAAACCAGAGCTAAACACCATTGTAATACAATCAGAGATATCCATTCTTCCCTTTATAGCTCAATAATAACAGACTACATAAAGAACACTTTGGCTAACATGAGTGGCATTACACAAATAAAAAGCTGCAGTCTAATGAATAGATTAACACATAGAGCTTACACCTTGATTTGTCTTCTGGTATACAGCAATCACTTTGCTCTTCTGTGAACAGTAAAGTTGTAAGCAGCACTGGAGCATCACAAAGTGTTCTTTTCTTTATGCATTTTTTATCATTGAAATAAAAACTAGTTTGTTTTGTGTTTCCAACTGGATTGGTTAAACTTACCAAATTAGCTAAAAAAATCTTGTTTTGTACGGAATAAGACAAAGAATTCAGTTTAAAACATCAACTGACACATTCTTCCTGTCTATTCCTTATCATAACCAGACTCTTAACAGCAAACTATTGTTTCAGGACTGTCGCTGACCTCATCTCCGTTGAATATCTTTCCACTTCATAGCAACATTTGTACCACACAAATGCCAGGCAATTACCATCTCCAATAAGATACAATCTAATCATCACCCCTTGACATTCAATAGCGTTACCATCACTGAATCCCCTACTACCAACATCCTATGGGTTACCATTGACCAGAAATCGTAGTAGACTAGAATATAAATACTGTGATTACATGAGCTGACCCTCAGCCATGTCAGCCCCATCACTTCCCCTCCCTCTTGGAGCAGTGGCAGGGTTCCCCGTGTCCTCACTTTTCACCCCACCACCCTGTGTATTCAAAGCATCATCCTCAGCCATTTCTGATGCCACCACCAAACAGCTCTCTGCAGTTATCATTCTCTCCATCTGCGGAACTCATTGCTACAGAAGGCTGTGGAGGCCAAGTTACTGACTGTATTTAAGACAGGGATAGATAGATTTTTTGTTTAGTAGGGTTACAGGGAGAAGGCAGGAGAATAGGGTTTAGAAACGTATCAGGCACGAATGGTGTGGCAGACCTGATGGGCCGAATGGCCAAATTCTGCTCCTGTACCTCATGGTCTAATGCTCCAGGACATCCTGGTCCACTCCTCCATCACTCCCACCGCATCTTCATTCAAACCTCCCCCACATATCACTTTCTTATGCAATCGCAGAAAGTAGAATAATTGCTTCTTTACCTCCTTTCTCCCAATTCTTCAGATGTGCCTTTTAGGTGAAGCAATGATTTCAAGCTAATCTACCGAATTTGCTGTTCACAATGTAATTTCTTCTACATTAGCAAGATCAAACTCAGACTGGGTGATTGTTGTGGAACATCTTTTCTATCTATCGCAAGAACTGACCCCGAGCTTCCGGTTGTCTGTAATTTCAATATACCATATTGCTCTCATGCTCACATTTCTATCTTTGGCCGCTTGCAGTGATCCAGCAAAGTCCAACACAAGCTCAAGTTCCTTTTTCATGTGGTATTTTGTGTGTTTGGGGCTCAACATCAAGATCAACAACTTCAAACCACAATTTATGTTCTCCATTTTGATTACCCCTTCTTTCCTGATCGTCTTGTTTGCAGGGGTTCACACTCAGTAAAGTTGACTCTTTCTCTGCTGTTAACACTTACCAATAATATCAATATTTCATTTATATCTCTTCCCTACTGCCATTAGCACTTTCTTTGCCTTTTGCTCTGGTGCAATTTTGTCATCTATTTCACTCGCTCGTCCTCCCCCATTTTGAAAACATTAAGACTTCTGCAACCCCTTTCAGTTCCACAGAAGAGTTATACTTTACTTTAAGCACTAAAATGTAGGAAAGCTTCAAGCTCACAGTATTAAATGCTGTCAGAGTCCTTCAGGCATCTAAGAATTAATGCAATAAGGACTGTCAAGAAAATTCATTATTCTCCCCTACCTTATCTCACCCCTTCAATCAACTTCCCAACCATGAAACACATAATGCATTAATCAATTGATATGATTGACTACCATTGATCCAGATTATTTTGTTAGCACAAGTGGGAAAGAAATATCCACATTTTCCTATTTAAGATACTGTGTATTCCAGATAATATCAGCTCCACTTTTAATAGGCGGCACGGTGGCTCAGTGGTTAGCACTGCTGTCTCAAAGCACCAGGGACCCGGGATCAATTCCAACCTCAGGTCTGTGTGGAATTTGCACTTTCTCCCCATGTCTGTGTGGGTTTCCTCCAGGTGCTCCAATTTCCTCCCACTGTCCAAAGATGTGCAGGCTAGGTAGATTGGTCATGCTAAATTGCCCATAGTGTTCAGGGACATGCAGTTTAAGGTGGGTTGTAGGGGGATAGGTCTGGGTGGGATGTCCTGAGGGTCGGTGTGGACTTGGTGGGTCGAAGGGCCTGTTTCCGCACTGTAGGGAATCTAATCTAATACTGCTATAGAGCAGGGCTAAAAACATTGTGATTTTAAGAGAATTAAAGCAATAAATTGAAAAATGCTCCTTTTTCTTGGAAATTTTTCTGTGCACCTCCAGGTGATTTAAATTTGCACTGGAAAATGCAACACATTCCTATTTCAAGGTTGCACTGTCAACGTCACTAACTCACTGACTTTCTGAATTAATACTCAAAAATGAAATCACAAAGTAGCAATACTTACAGGTACATCAACGTACTTTGCAGCAGCTTTCACCTTAAGAGAAAGAGAAAAGAAGATTGGACACAAGGCACAGAAAAGAAGGCTACAGTGAAAGCCAGCCAACTCTAGAACCCCCTCCCACCATAATGTTATGGCTGGAGTCTCCGAGTTCCATGCTCACCAGCTACAGGTCAATGTTTGTTACATATTTGCAGTAGATTCCCACAGTAGAAATCAGAACTTGGATGCTGATCGACATAAATTGAGGTTTCAATTAAATCTGTCCCTGTCCCACATCTAGGCACCAGAATTAAAGTGAGCTGTACATCAGGAGGTTTATTACACAGTAGTGTCAAGCTCTGCAAGCAAGTTTCTGTGATACAGGGGAAGTACAAACTGTACACTGAACTGCTTGTTTAAAGTTGCAGAATCAGCAGATTAGCACTTAAATTTAACAATTTATTTTGCCCTATTTGTTAACTGTCAGCCATCAGTGCACTACCACAATACATCACAGAGATAACAAGGTGGATGAACACAGCAGGCCAGGCAGCATCAGAGGAGCAGGAAAGCTGACGTTTTGGGTCTGGACCCTTCTTCAGAAATGGGGGAGGGGAAGGGGATTCTGAAATAAATAGAGAGAGGGTAGGCGATGATAGAAGGTGGATAGAGGAGCAGATAGGTGGAGAGAAGATGGACAGGTCAAGAAGGCAGGGATGAAGCCAGTACAGGTGAGTGTAGGTAGGGAGTTAGGATGGGGGTTGGTCGGTGAGGAGGGAGGGGCAGGTAGGTGGGAGGGAAGACGGACAGGTCAAGGGGGCAGGGATGAGGCTAGTAAGTAGGAAGTGGGGGTGGGGGGTAGGGGGTTGGTCAGTGAGGTGGGAGGACTGGATAGGTGGGAGAAAAGACACACAGGTCAAGGAGGTGGGGACGAGAGGGGCTGGTCTTGGGATGAGGTCGGGGGTGGGGAGATTTTGTAGCTTGTAAAGTCCACATTGAGACCATTGGGCTGCAGGGTTCCCAGGCGGAATATGAGGTGCTGTTCCTCCAGCCTTCGGGTGGCATCGTTGTGGCACTAGAGGAGGCCCAGGATGGACATGTCGTCCAAGGAGTGGGAGAGTGAGTTAAAGTGGTTCGTGACTGGGAAGTGTTGTCGTTTGTCACGAGCCGAGCGTAGGTGCTCCACAAAGTGGTCTCCAAGCCTCCACTTGGTTTCCCCGATGTAGAGGAGGCCACATCGGGAACAGCGGATACAGTATATCACATTAGTGGATGTGCAGATGGACATCTGTTTAATGTGGAAGGTTTTCTTGGGGCCTGGCATGGACGTGAGGGGGGAGGTGTAGGGGCAGGTGTAGCACTTCGTGCGATTGCAGGGAAAGGTGCCCGGGGTGGTGGGGTTAGTGGGGAGTGTGGAGCGGACGAGGGAGTCGCGGAGAGAGCCGTCCCTCCGGAAGGCAGATAAGGGTGGGGGAGGGAAATATATCCTTGGTAGTGGGGCCATACACTGGCTGCTTCAGGTATGACCTCATCCTTCTGTGATGCTTTGTTCAGAAGAAAACAAGTAGAACTGTAATGGTCAGGTCTGCTCTATCTTGAATGAGAAAAGTCAGGGGAATGCTATGGTGTGATGTTGGATATAAGTGGAAAGAGTCTGAGGTACAGCACAGTACTTGAGGAAGGGAAAGACAGCCACAGCATTATAGATGATAGGAAACCATTTGTCCCATCTGCTGAACAACTCTCATGTGTGGACGTGTGGATGTGCATCCCTGGATATCAATTTCAGAACTCAATGAGTTAAAAGATTTTTATTGTGTCGAGGACTAAGAAAAGTTGATGGTGTAGGCCCTCAATATAGATTTGCAAATATACTAGAATTATTTTTAAAATATTTTTTTAATTGGATACATAGTACCAGGATCTGTAAAGTATTAAAATGAAGAAGATAATTTCACTAGTGTGAATGTAAGTGGATAAATCTTTATATAAAGTTTATGATCCAGGTGATTTTCTGATATGCAGTGATGGGAGCAAGCTTCCTCACTACTGCTGGTTCCCATCTTGGAGTCAATTTTACTTTGTTGAAATGGGGTACTAGCCTCAAACTAACTACCCATTAACTGGGCAACTGTGAATTTTACTGCTGGGCAGCTGAGACTGTTGGTCTGTTTCAGTCTGTGAGCCTATTTCAATCTGCAAATTAGATTGTAACTGATGGTTTAGGATAGAACTGGCTTTAATCATGCAGGACGCACTCTCTGACCAGTTTTGCCGATGTTTGAGCCAAATAGTTTTTTTTTGTGGAGCCAGAAGAACCTTCTTCAAGCCCCACAAAATTAACCTGGGAACTGCTACTCCAAATTCCTCTTCCTTACCTTGCTGTCAACTCAGTAGTTTCTGGGCTGGTTTGAATCCAGTGATCTGGATTAGAAGGTCCTTTTGGTGCCTGCAACTCACTGGTTCAATTCAAATGAGTCTATGGCCTCAAAACAAATTCCCGCAGCTAAAACTAGAGGGCTGCTTTTGACTTTCTCCCTGAAGACTTTATCCATCCGCAGGAATTAAGCAAATGCTTGATTTCAAGACTTTCAAAAGTGTTTCAATTCAATTAGAGTACTGCAGTACTTTATTCATAAAAGATAAGCATGAATTCTTCGGATTACTTACAGTGAATGATAGAATTGAGGAGAAGAAAGTTCCTTCGTCATATCTTGACAATTTGGAGAGTACACCTTCCAGTACGAACACAAACTTGAGGTGGAGTCGGGGGGAGGGGGGAGAAAATTTCATAACCATGTAAGGAGCTAATAAACATATGGGACCGATTCTTGAAACAGTTACGCCATCACATGAGATGTGAACACACATTACAACAAACCTCTACTATTTTAACCAGTTACCCTATAAATAACACACAAGGATAAGCTGTGGATAATGATCTTATACAGTTTGAAATGAAGTTATATTACCTGTTTGGGAGAGATAAATCTTCTACCTCATATTTCCTCACCATGTGCACTGTGTATCGGTCATACGGCATGGAAACAGACCCTTTGGTCCAACTCATCCATGCCAAACAGGTTTCCTAAACTAAACTAAACTAGTCCCACTTGCCTGCATTTGGCCCATATCCCTCTAAACCCTTCTTATTCATGTACCTGTCTAAATGTCTTTTAAATGTTGTAACTGTGCCTGCATTTACTGCTTCCTCTGGCAGTTCATTCCATGTACGAACCACCCTCTGTGTGAAAATGTTGCCCTTCAGATCCCTCCTAAATCTTTCGCCTCTCACCTTAAAAATTGCCCCCTAGTTTTGAACTCTCCCACCCTTGGGAAAAGACCTTTGCTGTTCAACCCCTTGTGATTTTATAAACCTCTATCAGGTCACCCCTCAAACCTACGTTCCGCTGAAAAATGTCCCAACTCATCCAGCCTTTTCTAATAACTCAAACCCTCCAGTTTTGGACACATCCTGGCAAATCTTTTCTGAGCCCTCTCCAATTCAATAATATCCTTTCTGTAGCAGGGCGAGAAGAACTGGACACAGTACTCCAGAAGCGATCTCACTAACGTCCTGTACAGTCTGAACATGACGTCCCAATTCCTTAAACATTTTGGAATATTTTGGTCCAGTTGTTACAGAACAAGGGAAGTGCTGCATGCTGCCTCCATCTACCAAGCCTCATGTTTAATTTCCCCTTCCTCAGTTTCTGTTGGTTTGCTGGCCTCACTTGTCTTGTTTCCTATCATATTTCCTGTAGACTTTTCAGTTTTGGAGGAACAACGCTGCCAGATGTAAGGAAGAGGGGGATAATAACCTGCAATCACATTTAAGACATTTATGAAGGAGGGTGCTCAGAATGAGAGGTAAGCTGAAGAAGTAAGGACTGCAGTATTCTCAAGATGTGTTGTTCTTGATGGTCTCCTCTTTTCCTTTGGAAAACATGGAGGAATCAAGAAAGCAAAGTGTCAGATTGCTTTTCTTAATTCCAACCTTGGGCAGGACGTAATTATTTTTGGATCTAATCTAAATGTTACAGTTACTTAAGGCACTATCTTTGGCCCCTGACAAAAATTTTGTCCTGCAATACAGCTCCTTCTCTCATGTTGCTGTGCCAGACTATACTGAACCTAAGCATTTCATTCAGTCCAAATGGACCTTCTCACCCTGTTTTCAGAACACTATCCACCTCTAAACCCATCTCACCTCATCTGCCATTGAACCCTTCACATATCCCTTTGCCACCCCCAGCCTCGATGGGCTAAATTTCGCAGGTGACAGGAAAGTTCCAGCTTCAGAGCTGAAAGCAGGAGGCAAACCCACATGCCAGTGAGCAGTAGCTGTCAGAGCAGCATTTTGCTGGTGGCAGCCAATTAAGAAGTCAGTAGGAGCTATCATCCAATTAGTGAAGGTGGCCCACTCCTTTGAGCTGCCAGCGATCAGCCCGGTCTCCATTGTGGAAGCTCACAGGGAAGGGGGGTGTCTGCCGCTGAGTCTTGGTGGTGCTTTTGCTGCTGGTGCTATAGGCACTCATAAGCATCTTGTGTACTGACTTTTGTTTCCTGTGGTTTATGAGGAACTTCATTTGTGTAACAATTTTTCAGCAGCCCAATTAAATGGCCTATCTTCATGTGCTAGCCCAGGCAGTCAGCATGTTTTATAAAATTAGCAAAGAAGTGTTGAAGAGTTTTGACCTCTAACATCCTAAACCCAAAACTAAACTTTTTCTCCAGGTTGCAGGCCACCTAATGATGTAATCAGTACAGGGCAGATTACTGACTAGATGCAGCCTTGTATCTCAACCAAGAGGGATCGGTAGTAAGATGGTCAAGCTGAACCCAGTTACCGAAGTTATCTTGGTACTGATGCACAACAAAATCCCCTTAAATTATAAAAAAGACTAATACAAATGGCCTATAAACATTACAAGAATGTTAACTGTGGCAGGTTCCAATGCCAGCATTCTGAAAGGAAGATGTTGCTTGGTGATAAAGACTCGTGGGTTATTAAGGTGACATGCTGATCCTCATGAATTGAGACTCAGCACTGCAGTAAGAAAGGTCTACTTGGAGGAGAAAGGAAGAGGATCATAATAGGCAGCACTACATTTGATACTGAGCACACAGTTTCAGATATTTTTACTGACTGCCTCAGGCACACAAAAAAAGAAAGAACACACGCTTTGACTTATCATAACTGAATGATTGCAATTGCCAATGACTGATGTGTCCTTTCTACAGCCATTGAGAAATGCCACTACATTCCTTTTTTTAGAATCTACAGTGAATGAAGAAACAATCTCTGGATTTGTATAATTCATGGCATGTGGTATATGTATACAAATTAAAAAATGAAATGCTCTCAGTTTATTGTAATGTGTCAATTGAGCAGCGATTTAAGTGTTTTGAGGACTGCAAAAGGCCCACAATGAACCCCAATATGTTCAGTTTTAATCCCTGAAATGATTTGACATTGCCTTGCCTTGAAGCAGTGTCGGGAGCAAGGAGAAACATTTAGCATCGTCACATCCATTAAGCAGCGCAATTCCTCAACAAACCATTTCTTACCTTTGAAACCAGCAGGGAAATCATTTCTTTGAAGGTTTCTTCAATCAAATCATCGATCTTTGAGTGATACTGCTGCTGTAATTTGAAAATGAGAACAAAGTTGCAAGTTGACAGAGAAAAGAAGAAATGATTGTGAAAACAATGTCTTGTTCTACCCCAGACACAACTAAAAACTATAATTGGGGGATTTCAAATAGAAAACCTTGAGCACAATCTCCCCACCCAATGCTGTTTTGCATTCAGTGCTAGAAAGCTTCCCATGTACACTGTCGCGTTAAGCAGCTAATAGGTCTATTATCTGAGTGAATTGAGTTGTAGACCTCATTCAGGCACAGGAATGTGAAGGATACTTTTTTGTCGGCTTCATTGCAATTAGGACAACCATGTGCTTTTTCTAAAGACCCATCCAGTTGGATGAATGAAAGGCTGGAAGAAGATTCAATTAATGCAACATTTTATGTCTGACAACTCTCTTTCTTAAGTCATTTAAGCTGCTCTGTGAGAAAAGAGAGATGCTGATTGTTAGCAGCACAAGGGGCTCTGCATTCGCACAGCAAGCAGCAGTTCACTTGGGTTCACAGAATTCTTGGTGACAATAAATTTAACTTGAGATAAAATTAATTTTTTCTCTATCAACAAAGCTGGAAGGTTGGGAACAAATTAATAGGTGATACAGAGCCAAATAAAGCATTCTTCAAGAACCATGTTATTCTTTTTTTTGTGAACTGCGAGACTTTAAATTGTTATGATTAATGAAATATCTAACACGTCCCATCTTTTATTAATAACAGACAATATTGTCTCCATACACTTGATTGTCATTTATAGGGAGTTCTACTTACGAGAACTAATCTGATAGTTCAAGGACTGTAGAGTACGAAGCCTTAAATATGATTGTCATGCATGCATATAAAAATATCAAAAACTTTTCAGTTGTCAGTTAACCTTTCCTTTCTCCGAGTCATAATCATTCAGCAGGGAAACAAACCCTTCAGTCCAACTTGTTCACTCTGACCACACATCCCAACTTGATGTTGTCCCATTTGCTAGCATTTGGCCCATATCCCTCTAAACCCTTCCTATTCATGTACCCATCCAGATGCCTTTTAAATGTTGCAATTGTACCAGCCTGTGCCAGCTTGTTTCATACACACACCACCTCTGTGTGAAGAAGTTACCCCTCAGGTCCCTTTTAAATCATTCTCCTCTCACCTTAAACTACATTTTCTATTTTTTGACTTCCCCCAACCTCGGAAAATGACCTTGGTTACTCCACCTATCCATACTCTTCATGATTATATCAACCTCTAAGATCACCCTTCAGCCTGTAACGCTCCATGGATAAAAGCTCCAGCCCATTCAGCATCCCCCTTTAGCTCAAACCTTCCAATCCCAGCAACATCCTTGTACAGGTAGTTTGCCTATAACGCGATAGTTGTGTTCTTGTGTGACCTCGTGCTTTAGAAAATTGCATTATAGAAAAATGCCACTAAAAAATCATGTTGTAGGGAAATTGCTATACCTGGACAGTAGGAAGTTTGCTTTCTCCAAACAGCTTCCACTATTCATCAATCACGTTACAGCCAATTCATGTTAACAAAGCACGCGTTTTAGCAGAACTACCTCTGAATCTTTTCTGCACTCTGTCAAGTTTAACAACATCCTTCCTATCACAGGGGGACCAGAATCAAACTCAGTATTCTAAAAGCAGCCTCACCAATGTCCTGCACAGCTACAACATGACATGCCAACACCTACACTCAATACTCTGAACAATGAAGGCAAGCGTGCCAAGTGCCTTCTTCACTGTCTACCTGCGACTCCACTTTCAAGGAGCTATGCACCTACATCCCTAGGTCTTTTTGTTTAGCAACACTCCCCAAAGCCCTACCATTAACCGTTTAATTATAGTTACAACTCACCAAAACATTCAAGGACAATATCATTACCATCTATGCAAACGGGTAAACTGCTCAATAGTTGCCTCAAAATAGCTAACTGTTCTTATTCTGTCTCCTGTTGAATTGGAGCCTGATCATTTAGACATTGCATGTCTGCCCAGAGGAATTCTCTCCAAAACCATTTGCCTCGCTGCACCCACAACCTCCTGCTTTCAAAAGCCTCCAAAGATCTTATAATTAGTTTGCGCCTGTGATTTCTCCCTTGATTCCTCCTTTACATGTCTCTTTCTTTGCTTTATTTGGGTTTTGCGCATTGCTGGTGAGACCAGCACTTATTGTTTACTCCAAAAAGCCCCTGGAGAAGGTGGAGGTGAGCTGCCGTCTGGAACTGCTGCAGTCCTTGGACATATAGGGACACCCACAGTGGGATCGGCAAGGGAGTTCCAGGATTTTGAACCAGTGACAGTGAAGAAATGGAGGTATAGTTTCAAGTAAGAATGGTGTACGGCTTGGAGGGGAATTTGTGGGGGCTGGTGTCTCCACTGTGTATCTGCTGTCCTTGTCCTTTATGCTCACCTTTCCCTACTGTTGAGCGTTCAGAGATGCTTCTTTTATATGAGGAGCATAATGCAGATGCAAACTCTTGTCCTTTGTTATACTTTACACACAAACTGCACAGACCTTGTGTCAGTGTTTGTTAAGAAAAAGCTTATTGATAAATCCAAATTGAAACAATGCCAGTTATCAGCAGTATAAAAGGACCTGACTTTCACTTACATCTCCCACAGTGTCTTCCAGTAATGGATTACTTCATCTCAGTTTAACTATAGAGCTTTACACAGGATTACGGCTCACGACTGGAACTAATATTAAGGTTATTCCTAAAAACAAGGGTGAAGTTATCCCATTTGTAGTCCAAGTATGTTGGTAGGTGAGTTTCATGGTGTCCATCACTCATGGCCCAGAACTTTCTTAGGGTGGAGGTAGCTATTACGAGGGGGCATAGTTTTAAAGAGAGTGGAAGTAGGTATTGGGGAGACATCAGAAGTAGGTTCTTTACTCTGAGAGTGGTAGGGACGTGGAATGCATTGCCGGAGAGGGTAGTGGAGTCGGCCTCATTAGGGGCATTTAAGCGGCTATTAGATAGGCATATGGATGACAGTATAAGGTAGGGGTGGAGGTTAGAAAGACCTTAGGTTTAGGGTAAAAGTTCGGCACAACATCGTGGGCTGAAGGGCCTGTACTGTGTTGTACAGTTCTATGTTCTATGTTCTCTCATTATCTTCTGCTTTTCACCTCATGAGTGAGTTTCTGGGGCAATGATGTGGCCAGAAAGATGGAAATGCTTGCCACTACTGATAGTGCCAGATACCAGAGATCCTTCAATTATAACGTTGAGGACTATAGCCCGAGTGTGGCACTTTAATGTGGGCTACATAGAGACTAATGTACAGGACCTGTGGTAGGACCTGGCCAGCAGACATCATTCCACACTTATACACACCTTGAGAGAATACAGAACCACTGAAGATTCCATACATTCCTACAGGGATAGATTAAGTCCCTTTTCAAGGGAGGGCGCAGCCATTCAAGGCTGAGAGATATACAATGGGAGGTTGACATGTCTATTCTCCTTTACAGCATTATAGTCTGCTTTTCATAGCAGACTATTCAACACTGTCCTAGAGGATACTTAAGCTTTTCAGGGTAATGTAGCAGTCTATGCAACTACGAAACATTGAAGGGTGGCTGATAATGAAAGGGTCCAAAGCAGCTTCTTCAGGATCTTGTGAACTTGGTGACTATCATGAGAAACTTCACTACACAATGCTCAGAAATGATATCCTTACACATGCTGTAAGAGCAACCTAACCGTAGCCTCATGTGATGTCAGTACACGATCTCAGTGACTTTTCTATCATGGTCATGCAGAACATATCACTGAATGTCAACTATGTGTATATTGGCATCTTCAAGTGATTCCACTTCAATGTTCAACTGCATGGAAACTAGACATTTATTCAGTAACACCGAAAAGTCAAGGATTGCAAAACTGAAAAGGCCCACATGTCCCTTGCTTTAAGCAAGGGCTGCTTGCCAGATTGCCAACAGAATCTGAAATAATTAAATAAAGTTCAAACTCAGCTCACTCATCCTGGAAGAGGGTTTCAATTAGTTTCTCTCTGGCTCTATCACACTTTCTCACACGGCCCTCTTGGCCAATGTCCTCATTGTCAGTCTCCATCTTCATCCTCAGAAGATTTCTGTCAATTCCCTATTTCATTATCTGCATCTGGGATATCATTCCCTTTGCTGGTTTCAGTTAGAAAGGACACAGTATGCTACCATGATGAGGACATCCTTTCTGAGCTATACTGTAAGGCCCTGTTGATGCAGTCCGAGAACTGAAACTTCATCTTCTGTTCTACTGTGGGTCTGGCAGAAGCATGAAAGGTCTTGGATGTTCAATCTGCAACAGTCCCAGAGTTTTTAAAAGGTGTCATTAGCTGTGTTTGAGGGGATGTGTTTCCCTGCAGCCATTCCTGCAAGGGCTGGGGACTTTGGTTGAAGGCAGGAACCTGTCAGCTCTGCAGTACACAAAACCCCGGGGCAGCTCCCAGGAGATCTGGAGCAAACCTCCAGAACTTGAAATCGGTGGTCACATATAATTCCCACTCCTCTGTACAGGAACTCGGTAGGTTGCTGGTATGGTGCTCTCAAAGCAATGAGACTGCAGTTGATAGTGCCCTGAACCTGGGGGAAGACAGTGATGGTGGGAAATGCCCAAGACGCTATACTCTTTTCATCACAAGGGTAAGGTATAAACAGGTGGGATCTGGAGAAAAATGGCATTATTAAATCCCAGATGCATTAATGGATTGGGGACTAGAAGACGGCACGCAGGTTCTCAGATGCTACTTGAAACAAGTTGCTGGCATTAAAATAATCCAAGGCAGCTGTGACTTTGAAGGCCACTTGGATGGGAGTACCACCCAGTCTTTCTGAGTGCAAATCCTCTTCCAGCAGATTTCAAACTTCAGCAATGATGGAGTAGGATATCCTTAATTGGCACCTTTCAGAGTAGTGAAGAAAATGACAGTGAGGCCTGTAGATTCTGGGTCTCATCATTCTCTTCCACCTGCAGCTTCTGCCTCTGGTGGTAGTACAGCCACCGCTGAAGGTCGCTGTTCTTGCGGCACTTGCAACACAGAGCTGTGATTGCTGTTCCCTTCTATATTGTCTTCAGAGTTGGACTAAGGGAAAATGTCTCCAGTGACAGCGTTCTCCTTGTGCAGGTCAATTGTGTGGGATGTCAGAAAGGTGACATGTTTATTGAACAAATTCCTGAGTCGTCACACCCACAACAATGAAGCCTCATGTGATTCTGTCACAGAGTGTGAATCAAAAACCTTTCAAGGTGGTCACTGTCATGCTTCCATAAGGATCATTGAGATATGTTACTGTATCCAATTGTATAGTGAACATCTAAACTGTCATACTTTGGGAGTAGAATTCTGTCTGGAAGCCATCATGATAGCCAGCCAGCCAGCTCTCCACCACCCTCCCCCAACTAAAATACAGATTGGCTTTTGTATCCCAGACCATGTTCCTGCATGCTTACACCACTGAGAGAGAATCTGGCAGCTGTGATGAGTTATCATCCTGCAATGTGTTTGTGAAATGGGACTATCATGTTCAGCTTTTCACTGCCTTGTTCTCATTACATTTGCTTAGCTAACATAACAAGGAGGCAATTAGTGCGCACAATATAAATGGCTCCTGATTTATTGTGGCCATAATGTTTATTCTTCATTCTTGGACAATGAATGGCCTGCCGATGAAGCATGAACTGATGGCAGCGTTACTAAATACAGGAGGCTCGATAACGCAATTGCTTCCAGCACGGCCCTCAAACAAACAAAAACACAGAAACAGATTTAATCTACTTTGCACCATAAGTGAAGTAAGTGCACAGTCAGCATGAGTGACTTTCAGGCTCTGCTTGTGTTGTAGAAGTTCTCCCATTCTCCATATTCTTTATTGTCTTGTTGAACCCCTGGCTCTGATGGAAGTCTAGCCGCCCCCATTTTAGTTGGGTGTTTTTATATAACTATTGATGTCCTCACTTTACCTTTAGAGCACATTACTTTAGAAATTCCTTTGCCCTTGTTGGCCCTCTTGATATTGAGGCCAGAGCTACTGTGACATGTCTGAGCCTCTCCTATGCACTAAGACAACCCACTGTGACAACTATTGCTGGTCCCTTTCACAAAGAGCATTCCCTCAGACATGGAGCACAATGAAGCCTGCCCCAGACTCAAGTTGCCTGCTTTTCCAAGATTCCACAGACAGCTCATGATAAACCCTCTGATAGTTAGTGAGCAAACCCTCAGGACTGACTGTGTCCCATCACCCACACTGACTTGGTAGGAAAGCCACAAATGTGACAGTCCACTTGCTGGGCTGCTGTCTCAACAGTACTCCTGGTATTGACTTAACTGCTACAAGGACACGTCTAAGTGCCTGACTGATCGTGACCAAACCAGCAGACTGGGATAGGAAGAGCCTCTTCACTGTGGCCATATCCACTAACTGACTGTAGTCCCTCTTTACTAGACTAAGGACTGATCCTACACACATTAGCTTTTGCTTGAAACACATGCAGTGTATTTGCCATGTAAATTGCTGGCACTTGTTGCAGTTCCGAGCACGATGTAGCATCATATCCGTCCCTCTCTGACTGACAGACTGTTCAACACTCCCCATTGTCACATGCTGCATGCCTTTCCCTCCGTACTATAAAGCAGTGCAAAGCCCAGAGTCTGGCAGCTTGTAATTGAGCACTAAAGACCCTGTGTGCCCAGAAAGCAATATGAGGCTGGTTGGTAAGTTCTAAAGTGAGACAGCGTTAAGAAAGCAAGCAAAGAGCTATAAGAAGCATTTGTACATGTAAGCACAAAAGCATCCTGTGTAGATGGATGGGATACATGTCTGTCCCTGCACACAAAGCAGCTTGGAAGAAACGTGCAATTCATTGATGTCCCTGAGCTCCTAAGGAAGTTGAGGGCTTGGTGTCTGAGTTACCCCGAGAGCAGGCATGATGATATGGTGAGGTTGGTCATTTGCTGATGCCAACTTGCATATAATAAGGCTCAAGTGGAAAATCAAGAACCTTTTCTCAACGTTGAGAATCTGATCCCAATATTTTTCCACCTTTCTCTCCATTACACGTGCTACGAAGGGAGGGGAAATTTCTGTTGAAAAGTGAAGTAACACAACAAATTGCATGTTGATATTGAACTTACATGGATTGAAATTTCAAACATTCTTTTGCAAAATTTTACCTTGCACAACCTTCCTCTAAATTTACTTTTCATTGATAATAGTTTAAAGTTGCCATTCCATATTGTGTGTGAGCTCTGTTGATTTTCATATTTTTTTCTGTCACAGAAGGAGTTAGAATAGAAGAATAATGTGGTGTCACCATTGTTCAGTTGCACCAGATAATGTTGACTCCTACTTAAATCACAATTGAATGTAGTCGACTCAGCATAGACAAAGTATGAGTCAGCTTTGGAACAGTGAAGAACAGAATCAGGGAAACCAAACTGTCCTTTTCGTAACATAACTTAGATTTAAATCCAGCCCAAACTGATGGGATGATCACCTCCTCTTCCTCGATTGTTGCAAGGCACCGAAATGAAATGTGGAAATCTCACTGCTACATCATGGGTGAGGGCTTACAGAAAATTGTCCACCTTCCTGCAACCAATGGGGATATTCATGTAGGTATAATACCAGGACTTTTTGGAGTTTGAGGTTAAGGTGTCATGTCGAAGCAGACACTCAAAGATCTGATTCCTACCTCCTTTATGACGTATGTGACCTTAGAATGCTTGACATCAACACCAAGCGAGAAAGAAAGCCATCAGACCAAAATAATTTTAACACTGTGGCATTTCAAAATTCTAAAAATGGTCACATATTTAAGAACAAAGAACAAAGAAAATTACAGCACAGGAACAGGCCCTTCGGCCCTCCAAGCCTGTGCCGATCCAGATCCTCTATCTAAACCTGTCGCCTATTTTCCAAGGATCTGTATCCCTCTGCTCCCTGCCCATTCATGTATCTGTCTAAATACATCTTAAATGACGCTATCGTGCCCGCCTCTGTCACCTCCGTTGGCAACGCGTTCCAGGCACCCACCACCCTCTGCGTAAAGAACTTTCCACGCAGATCTCCCTTAAACTTTTCCCCTCTCACCTTGAAATCGTGACCCCTAGTAATTGAGTCCCTCACTCTTGCTATCCACCCTGTCTATACCTCTCATGATTTTGTAGACCTCAATCAGGTCCCCCCTCAACCTCCGTCTTTCTAATATAAATAATCCTAATCTACTCAACCGCTCTTCATAGCTAGTGCCCTCCATACCAGGCAACATCCTGGTGAACCTCCTCTGCACCCTCTCCAAAGCATCCACATCCTTTTGGTAATGTGGCGACCAGAACTGTACGCAGTATTCCAAATGTGGTCGAACAAAAGTCCTATACAACTGTAACATGACCTGCCAACTCTTGTACTCAATACCCCGTCCGATGAATGACAGCGTGCCGTATGCCTTCTTGACCACTCTATCGACCTGTGTTGCCACCTTCAGGGTACAATGGACCTGAACACCCAGATCTCTCTGTGCATCAATTTTCCCCAGGGCTTTTCCATTTACCGTAAAGAAAACAAGACGTTCCAAGGCTCATCAATCCCTTCACCAGGAAGAAGGCTACACCCAGATTTGAATTCAGATCACAGGGTTCAGAAACCAGCGCGCTCACCATTACACCATGGCAACCAGAATTATTTATTAAAACAATTTTAAAATGCTCGCAATAATTTTAATTTGTTCCATTACAAGCTCTGCAGAACAGCTCAGAGAAAAAAAATGCAAAGTTCACAATAATGGAATCACACTGAAATTGTTTGTAGAGAAAGGAAGGGGCCTCTTGCTGATGGGGCAGGGCAGGGGTGACAGCAGGACTGCAAAAAAAAGATGCAGAGAGTTACTGTGTACAAGATGCAGACTTGTAAGGGGAACAATTATTTTCAGCGCAACTTCTGACAGATTCTGGATAAAGGAAACAATTCTTTTGCTTATATAAAATGAGAAATTGTAAAAAAAATGTTGTATAATATTGAATTTCTACTGTTACTCTTTTTGCACCTTTGACTACAAATACACATGTTTAAGAAGTTAATTAATTAGGTTCAAACATAAGAACAGTCCTCAGTTTTGGTAATGCCTTTGGCATTTGTTTTCAGTGGAAGCCAGCTGATCGATTGCTTGCTTGTCAATTTCCAAATCTTCCAACCAAAGTCACCAAAACTTGCTCCCACTCATGTTTGGATGTCATACTGAGCATCTCTCCTTTTTTAAAGTCAGAGTTGAATAACAAGATGGCACACAAAATAATCAAAAGCAACACTTACCCATTGCTTACTAAACTGGAACCGGAGATGGGGAACATAAATGAAGAAAACAAGGCAGAACACAGGAAGAAGCAAAAAGGACAATGATGAACATTTAGCCAAAATTCAAGTCAATCTGTAAATCATGAGGGTATGACTTAAGACTGAAAATAAACTCATCTTAAATGATAATGTCAAAAGCCAACTAAATGAGAGAACTTAAATGAAATACATTTATTCTGATCCAATGACGATATAAGCAAAAGAAATAAATAACGTTTAAATCTCACATTGGGGAGACAATCACTTCTCCATAACGAACATCCCAAGAACACCAAAGTTAATGGATGCAATCTTATCACACCAGCAAAGAAGGAATGGAGATGGGATTGGGAACAAAATATGAAAGGTCAACATCTGTTCAACAGGCTGCCACATTCCTGTCTCTGGGTGATCTTCGAGAAACTGGTGAGTGATAGGATCAGTCCCTGTCTGACAGTGACGGATAGTCAGTAATTACCAACTGTAAGGACAACAGGAGCTTAGGAATGCTGCTCGAGGATCCTCCTAGCCGTCTCCTTTTGAGTGCTGATCCTGGCAACTCAGTTGAGGCACTGGGTGCACAGTAGAATTGGACTCATGCCTCAATGATGTTCCTGATAGAATGGGCCTCAACCACAGCACAAATTAATCCACAGGAGGATGTGCTCCTCTGCTCAAGAAGCCTACCCAGCTTTAGTTTTGATATTGATGCTCGCCTCATTCGGCACCCCCATTATGAGGTGCCCTCACACTCTCCTTGCTATCTGTACACTGCTCACCTCTCCCAAAGTTGCTTTCAACCTTGCAAAGCTTCAGGCCCTTTGATTGTTCCTCAGGAACCTGCCCACCCTTCTTGATTGGACAGAGCTCCGAATTGGAACCTCTTATTGGGCTGGCTTTGAAAAAATCTTGCAGGCAAGCGGGACAATCTCAGACAATCAGAGACAGGATCGATATTGTCCCTGATGGAAGTATATTTTCAAAAGATGACAATACACCCAAGAAACCATACTGTTATTCAAATTTCAAATGGATTTGTAAACTAGAAAGGCCATAAACTACATTGCTCGGGAAAAGAAAAGCATATCTTTTTGTAATTTCCCTGGCTCTCACTCCGTCTGAGACAGAGAATACTTTCATCAGATACCAACCCGCACAGCAATGCTGTTTTGAACTGAGTCATTATAACATGTGTCCATGTCTCCCTCCTTTCTTTCTCCGCCTGTGGAAGGTGAGTTCGTTCCCACTTGAAACTTTATTCACACAGCATGGCTGAGAATTGGAAATCAAGCATGGGATGAATAGGACCTGATAACAACCCTTTTCAGCTCGATTCCTATCTGCCAGAAAACCAGAAGCTGATCCTAACCAATCAATCCCTATGTTTTGTTGCAATAATGGGAGAAAGCATTCAATCATATAAACAGTTCACTTAGTAAATACTGCAAAATATTTTCTAACATGTATTCAACTAATTAATTGTTAATTTGAATAAATACATTTGAAATCCACATTCACTTCACCAATGAATGCTAATAGTGAGATAATGCATTGCACTTTTTCTAGTTTTACTTCATATCAATTTGTTGTTTGACAAATTGTATAAGGCTTTCAGAAAAAGGTTAAGATAGAAAAATAATTAAGATATTTTCTTTAATTTCATTGTGTGATGAAATGGGTAATTTCAAAGTTTGTATTTTTTGAGGTAGACCTTAACTGAAAAGGGAAACAGCAAAGGCCTTTCAGTTTCTATGGAAACTAAGAATGGCAACCAAATCTCTGGTAAGACTGAACATGAATGAAAATCTATAAAAAGACAGTGAGCCATCTGAACTCAGTTAGTGACCTTATGGTGCAGAACAGGCAAGCTTAAGAAAATGGAGTCTAGATACAGAATCTGAAAGCATACTGTTGCTGCAGATGGTTCAGCTATCTGAACATAGCATCGGAGGCATCTGATCCACGACATCAGACTACTGCAAACAGAGTCGAAAAGGCTCTGCAGGTATGAACCATTTTTGGTGAAAAACACATCGGTGGAGCGTAGATTGGTTGTGTGCTGTTGTTGGCTGAGGATCACGCTAAATCCTAGAAGAGGAGCAACTGAAATTCTTTGTGAGACAGATAGAATTTAGAAGGACTTTGTGATAGAGATGTAATGTTGACTGGGCTGCTGTGCCAATTCTTAAGATGTGCCTTAGTTGTATTTGTCATCTAATGTTTAATGTTTAATTTATTATTTATAATTGACAATAATTTGCCCATTTAACTAAAACTGGTTTTGAATGAGAGTGTTTCAGAATTTACAACATAATATTTTGCATTTGCTTTGTTTGACTCCTTTATATTAAAAATTCTTTTGTTTTAAACCATGGAAACTTGTGACTTCAATTTTTCACTAAATAATTGGGATTTTGGATTTCTTCTTTTTCTATGTTACCAATCTCCACCGAGATCATAACAATTGGAAATGCAATCTTTTTTGACTGTACAACTTCAAATTATCCGTGACATTTCTTTTGCCGTGTGAAGAATGATGTCTATTGTGAGATCACACCAAATCCAGTTTCTTATTTGTAGTTTCTATTTAAAGCAGACGAAAGGATAAAGTCCTGATTTCACATTAAGCATTTCTATGGAAAGTTAAATGTCAGGAAACAAACCCAGAACACAAGGTGTTGTTAGACAACTGATTGGGGCTTTATGGTGGAACGGATGGTAGCAGCTTCAGATGAAAAGTCAATGCTTTAAAATAAAATGACTTTTGAAACATTTGTCAAACTAAATTCCAGTGAAAAAAGCTTCTTTAAAAAAAAAGTCAAGCAATCAATGCATTAACAGTGGAAAATACAAAGAGAAGTGAAATAATGAATAAAGTTAATGCCTACCTCTTGTGCACCTTCTAAAATGCACAGTTTTGTAGACTGTTTCTTGGCGTCCACGAGCACATTGATCATGGTACAGACAGAAGAAGGAACACGCAAATCTGTTGACTTGTTCATTTTTTGTAACTTGACTTCAAATGCAACTCTTGTTCTGTTTAATAGAAATAAAAATGCAGTCTTTCAGATATGATTGCTGCTGGTAAATAGTTGCTGCTAAACTGCTCATAGTCAAAGAATTAGGAATATGCAAGCAAACTGATGCAGGGAAACACACTTAAAATCAGTTATGATAACCCAAATCTCCATTTATAAAGATGGTGGGCTTATATCTAAATTTACTGCTCCACACACCAGACATATTCTTTTACATGGCAGCCTGTTTCCAGACCTCCACTAAAGGTACTATGAGTTGTCCCATGGGAAAACTGAACAAATTACAGGCCTTTTTCAGACTCACTATTGTGCCACTCACTTTGTATCACCCATTGGGATGCAGCTGAGTTGACCAAGTAAAATGAAATCAAGTCATTGCACATTGAGGCTCCAATATGTTAAACTACATTATAAGGATTAAACATCTTTTATTATTGATAATGCTTCCAACTACCCTAAAACATACTATTCTTGGTAAAATAAATTTTGCAGGGTTGAATTCTTCTTGTATGATCAATAAAGAAATGAAACACTTCAGTCCATGTTTGACAAAAATAACTGATTTCAGTCATAGTGAACCTATGAAACATTTCCTCTTTCTAATATTTACATGTATGTGCTCCCCTGTGGTATGGTTAAGTATGTGTTAGTGATTGAAAGAAAATTCTTCCAAAAGTAAAGATATTAATAAACATACCAAACTCAACCCACACTGTAACGTAGGCAATTAATGGCATCACAGAGACTTAGAGCAGATTGGAAGGATGAAATTTAACATTCGTATCTGTTAAATTGCCTGTTATTTTGAATTATGTGCAAGACAGTTACAAGTAGATTCTATTATTTAAATTCATTTAATTTCTGTTTATTCTGTTTTAATTATTTTGTTTCTCTGGTCCCTTTACAGCTGTCAAAGCTGCTGCCAAACTCAGTTGGCAACAGATAGGCATTACTGCTGGCGTGCTGAACGGGAGATTGGTTGACACTCTGCCACCTGTTAGTGTCTCAGAAGGATTCCCTCAATTAGAACCAACTGTCTTCAATCAGGTTTCAATGTGGACATTGTCCCCAAGCTGCTGTTGCACAACTCCAGTGGCTGCTGAAATAACTCCATAGATGCCGGTAGCCCATCACCAAGTTACACTTTATTTACACATGGACAGTCCTTGACATTTAGTCAGCTCTCAGAGTGAACAGAACCTCTGACGTTTCTGTTCTTACCCGTCAGCCAGAGCTCCCTGATTGAAACTGTTAATCTGGGCCAATCAGAGATCTCTTACTCTATGAGGTCCACCTGGCTGACCTCGTTACAATCACTACATCCCTGCCCTTCCAAACCTGAGGACATAGGCTGGATCTTTTCTTTTTGTAGCTCCTCCCTCCTCCTAGGGGCGCTACAGCACCCAGGTCAGGTTCCTCTAACTCTGCCTCTGAAACGGATGGCGTTTAACATGCAGTAACTTGCCTCTTGTGCCCAGACTGTCTTGGAAGAAATTCATTCTCTTCTTCAGGTAGCAAAGGCATCGAGACGGTGGCATCTGCCATGTCCATCTTGGATTCTGAGGTATCTTCAATGCTTTGCAGAGAGGGAGAACCCATGGCTTCCAGAACAGTTGGAAAGTCAGTCAAGGGGATGAGCACATTTTGCTCCCACACCGTTTGGGAGTTTGCAGCTTTCATATGGTCCATGTGCTTGTTCAGGACCATCACACCTACCCAATCTTTATACATGAATGGTCCTGACCTCATGTTGACCATGTCTTTTACCCCATTCAGGGTCATTCTGGTGATTGCTACAACAAACTTCATCCCCTGAAGTAAACTGTCTCTCTTGCTTAGTGGAGTCTTATGTTCGGCATTGGTGTTCTTGATGCCGTTTCACATCCTTCCTATTGGGTCTGGGAAGAACAGATTTAACCTGGTGTGGAGTCTTCTCCCCAGTAGCAACTCTGCTGGAGCTATCCCTGTAGTCTCAGGAAGGGTGCTCCTATAATCAAATAAGAACTGGGACAGTTTGGCATCTAGCGAATCTGTCGGCTGTTCCTTTAAGCCTGCCTTCAAACTTTGGATTGCTCTTTCTGCCTGACTATTGGATGATGGATGGTTTGGAGATGTCCTGATATGTAGAATATCGTTCAACTTAAGGAAATACTCAAATTCCCTGCTGGTAAATGATGGCCTGTTATCTGTGACCAACAAACCAGGAGTCCATGTATTGCAAAAGACACTGCACAGTTTTCTATCATCCCCATGTTTGATGAATGAACTCTATGCATGTCCAGCTACTTTGAGTGGCACGTCCACAATGACTAAGAATATTGAGTCCATGAAAGGCCCTGCATACTCAATATGTAACCAAGTTCAGGGTTTACCTGGCCATTCCCAGCAATGTGGAGGTGCGATTAGCAGTAATTTTATCCTTGCTGGCACTCTGGGCACTGCCCCACCAATATGGCTATATCTGCATCAAATCCCAGCCACCAGACATAACATCTCACCAATATTTTCATTTTGGAAACCCTTGGATAATCCTGGAGGAGTTCACCCAGTATTGAGTGACAAAATTTGCTCAGGACAAACACTCTTGCTCCCTGAAATAAAATGCCGTGCTCTACTGTCATCTGGTGTCTCTGGGTGCAAAAAGGTTTCAATTCTGATTGTGATGGCCCTTAAGGCTCCCCCATCACCACCAGCTGTTTCAGTTATGCCAGGACTGGATCTTTCTGTGTCCAAAGTCTGATATTGTCAGCTGTGACTAGAAGGGGGTCCAAAAGACTTTTCCAGTGGTGGTACCAGCGGTGGTGTATCTGCCAGTGGGAGGTGGTTCAATGCATCAGCATTTGCTACTTGGCCTCCCAGACATGTTCCAACTTGTAATTATATGCACTTAGTATTAGAGCCCTCCACGGAATTTGGCCTGAAACTACGGGTAGCACTGCCTTGTTCTCTTTAAGTAGACCGAGCAGGGGTTTCTGGCCCGCTATTATTACAAATTTATGTTCATAAAGGTATTGGTGGACCTTCCAGACTCCAAATATGACTGCAAAACCTTCCTTCTTGATCGGGCATATATTCGCTCTGCATCAATCAAAATCCTGGATGCATATGCTATTGGGCGTTCCCCTCCATTAGGCCACCTATAAGCTGACACTACCCCGATACTGAAGGAGGATGCATCACATGTCAATACCAGATCTCACTTGGGATCATTGTGTGTCAACACCTGGAGGATAATAGCTGTTTCTTCACTTCCCTGAAAGCTATGGCTCGGCTATGCAACCATTTTCAAGGCTGACCCTTTTTTAAAAGTTGATGCAAAGGGGCCAGGATGGAGGTTGGTTATGTATGAACTTCCTGTCATTATTCAGCAGCCCAAGGAAAGACCTAATCTCTGGTATAGATGTAGGAACCAGGGCACTTTTGATCACCCTCACTTTATCTTCCAACGGGTGACTCGTTGACTCTGTAGCCCAAGTGGGTCACGTGGGGTGCCTGGAACACATTTTTTCCCTTCTACGGCACAAACCCACCTGGGAGAAACATCTAAGGACTATGTCCAAGTCCTCTAAGTGCTCCTTATTGGTCTTCCCTGGTATTAGCACGTCATCTAGATAAATGGCGATCTGGGGTAGACCTTGTAAAACACTCTTCATCATCCACAGAAAAACACCACAGGAAGACGATACCCCAAATGTCAGTCTCATATATTAGTACAAACCCTTATGGGTATTAATTGCAGCTTACTTCTGGGAATCCTCATCTAACTGCTACTGCAAGTATGCACGGCTCATGTCCAGCTTTGTGAAGGACAGTCCCATACCAGCATTGCGTATAAATCCTCTATACAAGAGATTGGGTATTTATCCAGCTGAGTAAAGCAGTTTACCGATTGTTTAAAATTCCCACAAAGGTGAACCAACCTGTCAGGCTTCATAATCGGTACAAATGGTGCTGCCCATTCTGCAAACTGGACTGGTTTGATGATTCCTTCACTTTCCAGCCTTCTGATTTCTGCCTATACTTTTGCCCATAAGGCAAATGGCACTGGGTGGGCCTTGCAGGATCATGGACTTACTCCCTAGTCAATTTGCAAGGTGGCCTTGTCTTCTCTGATAGCCCCTAGGCCTTCTTGAAAAGCTTCCAGGTATTTAATTAGGACTCCACTCAGGCAGCCATTTTCTAATTGAAGAATGTGAGCTAGTCTAGGCGAATCTTTCTCAACCAATTTCACGCCATCAAGCTTGGGCCCAAGCCTTATACCACAACCAGTGGTAACCAGCTGCTTCTCATAAGAGACCAGAATCGAAGTTGTACCTTTAATCTGTAAAGGTTCCTCAGTATAGGTTCTCAGTCTAGCCGAGGTCTTGCACAAACCCAAGGGTTGTTGTCCAGAGTGAATTTTGTTAAAGACTGGTTCTGCGATCTCTGAAACGGCCGCACCAGTATCAACCTCCTTTGGAACAGGGTGACCATTTAACCAGATTTTTATATTGAATGGTTCTGATTTGTATGTTGCTAAGCAATTGAACTGTTCCAAACCAGGTGTAGGTGGGCTTTCCAGAGTGTGCATTCTCCTGGACACCAGCCTATGAATTCTCATACTCAATTTAGGTCTAACGGGACTCTTTTGCTCTCTTGAGTCCACATACCTGCAGCAAAATGGCAGGCCGGCCCGGATCCTGAAGAAAACGTTAACCATCTGGTCGAGGTTTGGCTTTGTTTTGGGGTTTTGCTGTGGGTTAACCTACAGTCCCTCTATTCAGGTTATGTCCTGAGTGAGGGTATGCAATTCCCTTCACTCATGTGGTGTTCCCCAAGCTCAGGGTAAGGGTGTCCCCTTCCATCAGAATACCCTGTTACTCATATGTTCCACTTGCCACATTTTCCAATGATAAAACCAGTTGTAGTGCCCGTTTGAATTCCAGTTGGGTTTCAGGTCTAGGGGCTGTCAGAGGAGACAAGGCCACCTTGCAAGTTGACTAGGAAGTAATTCCATGA